GCTCCATCCTTAGCGTCATCGGCAAACTTTTCCCTGGTTAGTTAATTCTTTGCTTTTTCTATGTATATGTGTTTCTGTCCGGCTAAATCAACCCAAAAATACTCTATAACACGATGTGATACTGTCTATTTTGGGAAAACCTGCACGTTTTTCACCAAAAAATGGACATTTATAACACCATTAAGAGTATTGCTACTTTGTTCTCACATCTATCATATCTTTATATATAATTCTAATTCTGATTTTTTTTAATTGTACTGGTTGATTTATCAGCAAGGATTGTAAGTGTGGAGGCAGTGAACAAGTATCTACAAGAGAAGATATATCCAAGTTTAGAGCAGAGACAGTTCTCAATAGTGTACCTGCATACAGGGGTTAACAGAGCTGAGAATTTCCCCGGAATAGCTGCTCTCCGGTCGATCTGTGATGCTATGCCGGAAAACGTGAAAAATCATCTGAATGCTGTGTATTTTCTTCATCCAAGCCTACAGTCTCGACTCTTCCTTGCTCTTTTCGGCCGGCTCATCTTCAGCGGAGGGTAATTCACTATTCATTTCACTTTCTTATAGAAAACATAGATTAATGTCAAGATTCTGGTGGAATAGATAAGATCCTTTCTGTTCTTGATCAGCGATCTCATTTAAGGTATTGAGAATGATAAAATTCCGACCCGCCCATTTTCCAGCACTAATCACGCCTAATATCTTGATCCACATGTCTAATAAAGAGTTTCACCTACTGCCATAAAAATAGTATAATATATACAACGGTCTTTGCAGACCTTCCAACTTAAAATACTGAATTGATGAAATCCCTTTTTATTCTTAAAGGAATACCCCATACTAGATAATAGAAGGTTTTGAAACTAGCAGACTATACAAATCGGACCAATTAGTATTACTGCAATATTTTTTGACTTTAAGAGCAATTACTTAATTGCAGGGTGTATTGGAAGATGAATTACATGACCAGGCTAGAGTTCTTGTGGGAACACGTAAAGAGAAAGGAGATAGAAATACCCGAGTTTGTGTATGATCACGAAGAGGAGCTGGATGACTACCGTCCGATGATGGACTATGGAATGGAGGGAGATCATCCAAGGGTTTATGTTAATTCTACTGTTGAACCTGCTATTTCTATGTACTCAATGAGGTGTATTGCTTAGTTAAAAATGAGGAAGAACTGTTTTAAGGTGGGTCTTAGATGGGCTGAACTGATAATGTCTGCCGGCCTCTTAGGCTACTATCTTTTATCTTCAACCATTACTAGTATTACTGTTAGAAAAGCTGCAAAATGCTTAGTGATTATATGTGGCATTCCAATTCTAGGTTTTTTTTAGACTGTAAAATGGAAAACCAAATGAGCTTTTTTTCTTTAACATTCAGGCTTGTAGCTGAACTGAACAACTCTTCCTATCATTTCCAATGGACAAAGCCTTGTTTCCTCATTTCTTCTCTAAAACCAGCAATATATTTTTAAGAAGCAGAAGTTAGGAACTGATCATGCACATACTGAACATTGGAGGCTTAGCTAAGAGAGCTCTCACAAAAAGGCATCCTTTTGGGATCATTTGGATTCCAGGAGACATGAGAACAAAATTGAAGCACAAGGCAGTCAGAGGCAGATGTAGCATGTTTGATATAAATTCAACCGAACCCAAAATTTTGGACGCAGAGTATATCAATATGTAAGAATAACTAAAATTTCAATAAAGATTAAAAAGAATCCTCAACTGGAAACACACGACTTCTATAATGTCTTTGGTCATTCCATTTGGTTAAAGTCAATTGGCATCATACTGAAACCTGCTCAGCCGCTCCCAAATGAACATAGCCAAATTCTAGGCTATCTCCAATTCCATAAGTTCTCTCCGGTGACTGTCTTAAATTGTGGAGAAATATTCTTTTCGATGTAACTATGATGTAGTAACATTTTTAATCTACAACCCTTCCAAATACAATCATTCTAATTTTCCAAAATTCCAAACATTTCACAAGCTTAGTTAAATAAATCACCAATAGGCTATACGGACTTAGCTTTCTGGTTAGTTTACTCATCTTTATGATACTCTTTCTGGTTAGTTTACACATCTGTATGATATTACAAGAGTAGACCTCCAGGCCCTGAATCCTAGCTAATGTTCCGTTCCAGCTAATTAGGTTTTCACAATAAAAGTGAAGGTATTTACAGAAACACAAGCAGACGCAGCAAGATCATGCAATTACACAAGAACTTTGCAGGCATAAATATATATGTTGATACAGGTTTATTTACAACACATGAATATTTGATAAATAGGAATGTTGCGGTCACCCAGATAGCATCAAGAAATGTAGGTACATGTTTACTTACAGCACACCACTAATTGATAATTTGCGTCTCATATACAAATTAATTCATCCATCAAATTGAACTCTGGCCAGAAAAACATATTCACAAACCCCGTCAATGGAGGAATCCACCAAGGTCCACTGCAACAAGATAAAAGCACGATTCAAAAGGTATTATACACTGTAAGCAGAGATCAAATTAGAGGACGGATGAACAGGTCTATTAAAAAGTTCCTTCTTTTTCCTATTTTCCTAAATCAACTTTTCCCCATCCAAACTGTAAAAGAACAAAGAACTTAAGAAACATATGCATCTATGCAAATTTCTAAATTACATGCTCATGGTAGAGCTAGAGATCTCCATTATGTTTGCCCGGTTATTGGTGGGAAAAAATTGGAAATCACATGAGTTGCCTAATCAAAGAAAAACAGACAGATGAAACATCAGATAACAGTTACCCGAGAAGTTGGATAACTCAATATCTAAGCCCCTTTGACATGTAACTTAACTTAATTCAGATAGAGGAGTATCAGGACCCACAATTACAACTGAATAAAATGGTAACTGCTCAGTTCTTTATGCATAATATAAACTTATATTTTTCTAATAGGACTAGTGCAACTGGTATTACTTCATCTTAACAGAAGACTCTCTTTATCTAGCATATTCACAACATCAACACAAGCTAATATTCTAGGTCAAAGGAAGCAATTTATTTGCCATGAAATAGTCAAAATGTATTGTTCCGTTGGGGAATAACTAACGGTTATCAATGTGTTGTCCTTAAAGTCTCTCCTAACTGCAATCTTATTATTGGCACTATAAGTCTTTCAGTTGTTTGGAGGCACAAAGAATCTCCATACAAGTTTAGAAAAGTTAGCTGTGCACAGTCTATTTACACTTATATTGAATTGTGCTTCATCTATAACTTCAAATATCTTATAATCGATCCAATCAAGCTTCTGGTGAAATTCAAGAAGTTGACTGTTAATCTCTCTAGAGTTGTCAAGAGAGTAGTACAATGGATTACAGCAGTGACCAGACTAGAAATACAGTTCACAAAGTAAAACAACCTAACATACACCACAAAAGATAGGCAGACTTACATTTTCAACATGGATTTGGAGTGAACCAAATTGGAGGAGGCCAACGAAGCATAGAATGTGAACTGCGAGGACAGCAGGACAACGCTTCAATACTACCATCCGCTAAATTGTAATATCCTAAATCATGATTTCCATCGACACCATCATAGTTAGCCTCACAATAATCATCAGTAAAGTAAATCCTGTTTCCTCCACATCCAGGAAAATCAGAAGCCAACAATGCCAACGAAGAATTTTCTCCTAAAAACAACATTGTCTCGCCCAAACTGTTAATCTCCTCCCACTCACACCTTGGTCTTTCTAAAACCAACCTAAAGACACAAAATTCAACTGTCTTATACACCACATCAAGCTTATGATACGCCGCGTCAATATCAAGCTCCAAAAATCTAGTCACCAATAAAAAATCATCATTTGTTTTGACCAAATACTGCATATCACCACCAATTTGCTTAGGAGTTTCAATAAATGAAACACTAGGTGAGTCACCACTAACATCACAAACTGCAATTTCTCCAGATTTATGAACAGCATAGAACAATCCTTCAAAATAGATAACATCCTCATCGTAAAACCGCGCATCATCAATAAATTTCCATGAATGTTCTCCATTTTTGCAGTAAGCAAGCTCACCTGTTCCATTAAGGATCACCATCGTAATAAAATTCGGATCACGTGAAGGACTACTAGAAATGACAGCCTTCCTAATAAACGAATCACGCATTTCTTTCAAATTACGAGCGTGAACCTCGCCATCAGGAGACCGGAGGGTAAATTCCCGACCGACGCTATAAAAATTGAAATTCATCACATTAGGAAATTGAGAAACCGGTGGAAGATCAAAAGTTACTTTTGTAAGTGGATTAATAACGAAAATTGACGGCGATTCGTCGACGATGATGAGCCAGCCATGGGAAGAGCCGCATCGTCGTCGGCTGCTTGAAGCCTCAGGAAGATTGAGAAAGTGAACCTTGTTGTCAACGAAGTTGAAAAAACCACGTCGGTTCGTCTGGTTTTTTGGGAGCATTAACCATGGGAGCTGACATGGTAGGTTTTTGGGAGTCGCCGGCGTTGAGGAACGCCAGCTGGGACAAACCGCCCGGAAATGGAGGTAGTCACGGAGGTCAATTATCTTATTCACGATCGCGTCGAGAAGCTCCGGTGGAAGTTCCGACCAGTCATGGTCAACCGACATGGTTTTAGATAATACCATTGAAATACAATAGTAATATGCCCCTCAAAAAGCGAGAGAGACTTCATATATTAAGCTTTAATGTATATTTTATCTAGCGAATATATATGATGTACGCATAAAAATGTATATAGTAGCTTAGGAATATAAATATTTTTGGTTGAATGTCAACTTAATTACACAATTATTACTAATATTTTATTACAAAACAAAACTAGACCCTTTGATTTCTCATTCACATCTTACTTCTGACTTTTTCGAAAGCCTGTTTTTAGAGATACCAATTCGATATCACTTATCAAAGTAGATACGAAAGAGGTAAATAATATTGAAGAAAACAAAGCAACTAATAAGGAAATATTAACCACCATATAGCAACACAAAGAGGAGCATACAACTATATAAAATTTGAACAACCATTGCTAATAGCTAATTCAAAAGTTCAGCTTGCCATGTCAAATTATCAGTGTCATGTAATTTGTCAAATTACAGTTTGTTCACTTCAGCAAAAACTAAAGCATATTGCTTCACTTCCACCATAACATTTGAAGCAGTATAACAAAATTAACGAAGTTTCAACACTTAAATTTTGACATGTCCTAGAATTAGGATCAAGAACTTTCTCTATCTTTGCTCCATGGAGTTCCCTTGAAAGAATAGAACACCATAAATGATAGAACACATAGGTAAAAAGTTTACATGATATTGGTGCACAAGATGCAGAGAGTTGTTTGATAGAGCATAGCCTATGAGTTGATCAAATCAGCATCGCGCCCTGCCTCGCCATTCTTTGCATTGATGCTCTCACCATTGTTCAGAGCAACTAAATCAGCCTCAACAACAGTTTTAACAACTTCTGAATCATCACCAGCAGAATTAACATTACCAGTGCTCTCACCATTGTTGACAGCAACTAAACAAGCCTCAACAACAGTTTTAACAACTTCAGGACCAGCACCAGCAGAATTAATATTATCGGTGTTCTCACCATTGTTGACAGCACCTACACCAGCCTCAACAACAGTTTCAGTAACTTCTGGGCCAGCAACAGCAGAACTAACATTATCAGTGCTCTCACCATTGTTAACAGCACCTAAACCAGCCTCAACAGCAGTTTCAACAACTTCCAGACCACCACCAGCAGGTTTAACAATATCCACAGCACGCAGATCAGGGTAATTACGATGGTTCAGGGAATGCAGCCATACAGCCATTGTCCCTTCCTTTTGTTCTGTCGATGCAATATGACTATAGATATACTTCACTTTGAATTCTTCTGCTTCCTCTAAATAAGCTTTCAGAGACACTTCTTCATGAGTGTCCTTCCACTTACTGTTATATGAGGTGAAAAAGCATTCGTCCAAATACAAACCAACCTCAGGCGCCATGGGAACATTGATGTTGACATCCCTGATATGATCAAATTGTATCATATTAAACCATGCTTACCTACTCAAAACTTAAAAACAGAGAAGAGTACTAACACATACCTTCGGAAGGCAGTTACAATTAACGATTCAGGAGCACAGTTTCTCATGATAGCTACAGCAAGACCAATCATTTTACGGATTTGATGAAGCATGAAGCTCTGACCAATAACCTCACACTTCACAAAATCAATGCCATCAACATTCACTACAGTATTTGCATTAAAGGAAATGATAAATCGCTTGGCAGCAGGGTCATCAGCTTTTGTTCTAGTTGTGAAATTGTGAAAATTATGAGTTCCTTCAAAATACTTCAAAATTCTGTTAAATCTCTCTTTTTCTTTCTCTCCATAGCAAAACACACTCTCTTCCACTTGTTCTTCCTTTTTAGCATTTTCATCACTTCTCTCTACTACATCAATCCTTTCTTCAACCTTCTCACTTAAAGAAGCTTCATTTTCAATTATCATATTTGTATCAGTAGTCGGATCATTTGCAGTAACTACTGGTGCATCAACAATAATAACTGACTGAGTTATTGGATCGAAAACACGTCTACCCATTACTCCAGCGACTTTACGACCCCTTTCTGGACAATTTAAACACTTAACAAGCTCTTTTCCAGATCCTAAACTAGCTAACACGCTTTCTCTATCACGATGTGCATATGGATCAAGAGCAAAAACAGGAACCAAATACACATACCTACGTTTATCACAAAACTTCTTAGCACTGAACGCATTCGTTACACGTTTAAACCCAAAGATCCGGATTTGAGGAACGAGAATGGAGTTAAGCCGATCAATAAAACCAGGCGGATCGACGTAAAACCGACCCGAAACAACTTGACCGACGGCGCTAACGCCCTTATCAGTACGAGCAGAACGAGCCCACTCGTACTTTCTGGGTTGACATTTATCATGGTCAGGCACACCACCTGCTTGATAAAGTGCTTCTTCTAAATCTCCTTCGATTGTTTTTGCTCCAGGATTCTTCTGCATACCCTGATATCCTACTCCACAGTAAGCAAAGAATATTGCTACTTTCCGGCGCTTGTATCTAGGTTTCCTCTCCGGAGCAGAACCATCTCCGGCGCCGGCGGCGTATTCTTCGTCGGAAGTAGTGGTGGTGGACATTTTCTGTTTTTTGGGTTGTGGTTCTTCAGTAATTGATGAAGGAACTGGTTCTTTCTCCATGTTTGATTTCAGTAATCAGAGGGAATTGGAAATTTGGGAATGAAAGAGATGGTGGCCATTACAGAGCAATTTGTTGATTGGGGATTTTATCAAACCCTAATAAAACCCTAGAACCAACTGCCCGGCGCCACGATGGATCTGAAAATGGCATGCTGCTCTTGATTGTACCATTTGAATGGACAATAGTACTTGGAGGATTTTGGAAATTAAAAAAAAAAAGGTGATGCTAGACAATTTGGACATACAAAAAAGAATGAAAAATGATATTTAAATTTTTTTTTAAAAAAGGGTGATGCTAGACAATTTGGACATAAAAAAAAATGAAAAATGATATTTAAATCTTTTAAAAAGAAATTGATATTCTAAACAAACTTTTGAAAAAAAGTTAAAATTGATCAAAATCATTTTGTCAAAATTTAAAACTTGTATTTTTATAAAAGAAGTTACAATTTGATCGAAGTATCATGATTCAATTGGCATAGACGAAATTAGATTAGTTGAATGTAATTAAGCATGATGGTGGTTTGTAACTATATGAAAAAGTGATATGATCAATAATTTAGAGTGTTGATTTGAAGAATATATATGAGCCAAAAAAATAAATCAGAGATATTTTTAAATTAATAAATGGATATGAAAGATTATTTGTGAAGCATTTCCTATATGTTGAAAATATTTATATTCCTACAACTATCTTTTGAGATTTTTCCACTCAAAAACAATATAATTACCAACAGTTTAAAATAAAGATGCATCAAAATAGATGAAAACTTCAAAAGAAAAGGGGAAAATATAAATAACTTCTCTCCGAGCACGGGTCAAGGCCTAGGCGTCGAGCTAAAGAGAGTAAACCGAACTTTTATAGTTTGATTAATAAACTATTTTTTTTATATAAAAAAAAAGTTCAAAATATCTTTAATAAATTATCATTCATCCACGCATTGACTCCTTATCATCCACTTTCAATTCAAAATTAAATTATATTCAATAGTTGAGCACCAAAAAAACAAGTGATCAAATTTGAACTCAATAAGTGAGTGAAAAGTGAATTTAGGAGCCAATAAGTGGATGTAAAGTAGTTTTATACTATTTGTAATATTTCCACGATATATATTCTACACCCTTTTTCCGAAAAAAGAAAATTATTAGAGTACATACATATTTTAGTGTAGTTAAATGGGAATTAAATCTAATTGTCCTTGTACAAATCTTTTACATATTGAATTTAGATAGATACCTCAAAAAAAAAAAATTCACTTCTATAGAAACATTACCTAAAACATAAATCACGAAGAAAATAATTTAACTTGAATGAAAATCACTTATATAGAACATTACCTAAAACATGAATCATTTAACTTGAATGAAAATTACTTGTAACATAGAAGATTATCTAAAACAAAATTAAGCTACTATTGGTAGGAGGGTCTTTATATAAGAGCCAAAAGGACGAAACTTGATCATTTGCGGGAGTTGAACAGGGTTGAGGGTTTTATGACGTAAATCATAAAGAAATAAATATTTATCAGCTTTAAAGTAGAATAAAAATATACCATCTTGGATGTAGAGAGGTTTCATGATCCGATGCAGATAGTCGGGGTTACGACCTGGACCATAAGGAGTTAGATTGATGTTATATGTTTTGTTCCACGTCCACTTTTTATAGTGTTCCAAGATCCATATATCTAGTGCTAGTGCAGGCTGAGAGGCAAGCAAGTGACAGAAACACAAATTGTTTTCCATGACTAAGAGAGTCATCATGGATTTATGTTCATTGTCAATGTGGGCGACGTTGCAAACACTTCCAGGATGAGGTTTAGCATAGATTTGTTCATTATCCATTTTAAAAATGAGAATACCATTGTTGTCACAACTAGGCTTGTTTTGTAAATCATAATGTGTGATCCAATGCAATGCTCGATTAACCATTGCTGGAGATCCTTTCTTGTATAGAGGCAACAAGTTGACACTAGTACCGCGTATTTCCCTCCAAGTCTGTGTCTTGAATGTATATACTAAATATACAACTAAAGAGCCATTAATTACTCCCGCAGAAAGAAGTTTGAATTGATGATCCACTGGACAATAATAAAGAGCACATAATAAATTGTGATCTGTGCGTTGTACAATAACTTCCTCTTGTGTTGTGGGGTTCAAAACATAACAAATTTTACCACAACGTGCATCATTAACAAACAGAATAACTCCTTCACATGAGAATCTAATATGAGGAGGATGAACTCCTTGGTACTTTTTATTATTCACCAGAAGCTGAGAATGGAGATACAGATTTTCCATGTTGACGGGTTTAGTCAGATAATGGGGTTTAGTCAGATAATTAGTAACCACATAGAGTTTTTTGTTGGTACGAGTACTATCACGGAGAAGAAGCATGGGTCCTCTCGCATTAGCTTTACTCAGATGTAACGTCTTAAAATCGCGTGATGAGATCAAAGCTCCCAAATAATCCCTTTTACTTTGACATCGAACAACGACTTCTATAGGAAGTCTATTCAAGATATCAATCACAATACAATCAGGCAAACGTACCGATTCATCATCACCTTTGCATAACATGGAAATAAACAATTGTCTCAAGCATTCAAAAGCCATACCTACCTACAACAAAAATATATTATACTCAGTTATTATTAATAATATACGACATGACTATTTCATCACGATGAACAACTTACAAATTGATCCAAAGGGGTTTCAAGGACTATAAAATTACTAGGGTTTTTTTCATAATACATATATATATATATACCCAAATGATTTCGATTTTACAATTCCTTTTTCTTTGAGAAAAAAGTTCAAAATGGTCCCTTATTTCTTTCGATCGAGCACTTTTAATATAATAGGTAAGTGGAAAAAACAAAACGACCCATATTTAATTTATTCTCTATTCTTTTTCTTTTTTAGGTAGGGTTATTTTTATTTAGCTTTTTTATTAAAAAAACGACTACATAATTATATATATTTTACTACCATTTTATACTTTAAAAATATTAAAGTATCTTGCCACTAATTAAAATTTTTTTACCGTATATGAGCAACATACATATAGATACATATATTTTACTATCATATACGCTTAAAAACAAATCGGAAAAGATTCAATCACAATTCATATTTTAATAGAATGTTATATTTTATAGTGTGTGTATATGCATTTCCTTGTGCCGCACAATTTGAAGGAAAAACACATACTTCACTACCATATTTATGATTACTACCTATACTTTCAAAATATTACACCTTTGAAGAATCTATTTATAGAATTATGTACGAAAATAACTAATATATATAGTCACTAATTTCACATAACTACAATCATCAATGAATTGAATTAATCAATAATAATTTATATAATAACAAATAGAAATCAATTTATACATTTACGTAAAAAAATAAAATCATATATAAAAACTAAACTAGTTGGTAAATTTAAAGAGACCATTAATTCACTTCAGACAAAAAGCTTTAGCAATTCAACCATGTATATAGCGTTTACCCTATATGAAAGGAATTAGTAAAAGTTAATTACAATGAGAATAATATCAATAAATACTCAAGTCTCAATGTTTGGTTCTTTTCCCCTTTTATAATATAATTAATAACTAATGTATATAATTAATAAAAAAAACAAATTACAACATCTGAACTAACAACATTTATTTCCTTTCGATTCCACTACTTAAGTAATGTTTATATCGACAGTAGAATATATCTGGTTTAATCAATATGTATATAACTGTATCTAAGTGATTAGATCATAAGTTAGTGAGATTTATATAAGTTTCTATACTGAGCACCTCATAACTAAGTTAAATATAACATTTTTCATATTTTGCTATTAAACAAAGATATTAAAGTGTAAATCATTAAAAATATATCAGATAGGGTGGTGTTACTTGATTGGGTATATATATTATTAATTATGTGTTTAGATATAGTATTTTAACAATTTTCAAGATTAAACATGTAAGTAGGAAATTGTTTAAGTATAAATTATTAATCATGTTTAGATATAGTATTATGACAATTTTAAGATTAAATTTATAAATAGAAAATTATTGAATATATACTATTATTCAGTCGTTACAATAAAATATCAATAAAAATGAAAATGAAAATGAAAATGGATCCCGTAAGCGTTTAAAATGAAATTTTCATTACTACGATAGTTAATGGGTTTGAATTCTCTCTCCCTCTCCCCCCCCCCACCCTCAACACCCCACCCCACCTCTCTACGACACTACAATATAAAATAGAAATAATTTAAGATGGTAAAGGTCAGACCTACAAAGGAAAAATTAGCTATCTAGTCAAAATTTCAGATATAATTATTAAAAACAATAATACTTTATAATAATTATTAAAAATGTCATTATAGCAATATTTTTAAAAATATAATGTATCCTAATTTATTTCATATTAATCACATGTTTTCTCTCATATATTATTCATATAGCAAATTATCTATTTATAACTATCCTCTTAATACATTATATTGTCCCTCCTTATTAATCCCATTTTCTCTCTATTCATTAATTTTATTCCCCTTCCTGTTCTTTCAGATTTTATTATTATTATTAAAATAGAAAATATCAAATAAAATATTTGCATCATATTCTCATTTAATTGAATAACTTTCTTTTAATTTGTATTAATTGGATTAATATTTAAAAAAAATAGTTTTGATTTGTATTTTATTTGACCGTTTATGTATTTTTGTGTTCAAATTTATTCAACTTCAGAATTATTTATTTAATAAATTCCTTTTGAATTTGATTTTTTAAGTAGATCTCATTGCTTTTTAGGGTAGGTTTTGTATTTTGATGTTTACATTTTTTCAATTTTAGTTAATATATAATTTATATAATTTCATACTCAATTTTTCTTCATATTAGTATTGTCAGTTATGTTTTTTATATGTCAATTGCATTTTCAGAATATTGTATTTATTTAAATCAAATTATAGACTGATAAAATGATATATATTCTTATTTAAATTGTATTCATATTAGTATATATGTTGTATTTTTTATATTTTCATTATATTTTTCAGCAATATCAAATTTATTTAAGCATATTGTATCCATGTGCATTCAAATTAATTATTTTGTATGCTTTGTTTAAATTCAGTTTTCAAACGTA